AAGAGTTTAGTTATATTAGAGTTTGAGGATTTGGTAGCCTTGTCATTTGTAAAGAGTTTGTTGGTAACTGAGGGCTCTTGGGAGATAATAGGTTAGTCAATTTCTATATTTGTGCTAGGAGAATTTGTAGAGGAGGTTTCTTGTATAAGAGTAAGAAGGAAAAGGTTATTAAGAGGATTTGGTTAAGGTTTGGGAGTTAGAGTAGGTTGTTGAAAGAAATTGTTAATAGCACTAGAAGTAGAGGGTGAAACTGTGGTTTGAGGTTTGAGTTAAAAAGAAGAAGTTTTAGGCTGTAATTGGTTATTTGGCTAAATAAGTTGTTGAGATTGTGAGTGTAAAGGTGTGTGGGTGGTATTATTATTCAAGAATTTTGATAGTTGTTCAATGCGTTGTCTAATAGTATTATTAGATAGTCTAGAGATATAAAAGTCGAAGGAAGAGGTATTAGTAATACAGCTTGAGTGATAATAGTTTTCACTATATTTAATTGAGTCACCTTGGGATAAGTGATGATTAATGATTGATTTGCAATTAATAACTTGGTTGCAGTTTAAGCAAGTATGAGTATAAAAGAGTGAAGAGGGTGTATTTTTTGTATTTTCAGGGTGTGTTTGTTGTTGTGAAATTGGTAATTGTGGGATTGATTGAGTTGTATCTTTGAGTTTTTGTATAAGCTTTTTAGTTTGTGCACTTGACATTGTGGTATTTATGTTTGTATTAAAGTCATAGATTTTGTCATCCTTAGCTATAAATTTAGTATGATATTTTTGCAGAGGCAGGTAATTATAGCAGTTGAAAGTGAAGCAAGAAATAAGTATATGACTTTTTGGTAGTTGCAGAAGTCTTTGTTAAAACAAGTAGTTGGTCTAAAGCTCTTAGGAATTGCTTTAGCAATTTCTGGTTTATTTTCATATATTGCAACTCTATAGGTTCTAGCATTATTTTGGTAAAAGTGGTCAAGATCAAGAGTATCTGGTTCTTGACTTGTTAGAGTAGGCATAGTTGGTTTTGGATAAGATCTATTGGATATGTATCTGGGGTGTGATGAATAATCATAAGTGTGACAGATAATTATAGAAGTGTAACAAATAAGCAAAGGTGTGATAAAAAAGTATAGGAGTATGACAAATAAGCTTAGAGTGTGACAAATAATCACAGGATGCCAGGTAATCACAGGTCCAATCTTCACGTGCTACAGGTATATGTATTATGTTAATTTGGTTAGTGCTAAAGGTTACTCTGTTTTAAATTTAATAAGACCAAATTTGCTTAGGTTTTAATCTTGTGCTAAATTAAAAGAAAATTAAATATAGTTAGTGTAATGGGAGATAAATTACTAATATTTGGGGCCCAGGCAATGTGGGTTGCGCAGTAGAGAGTTATACAAAAAACATATCTATGTTTTTTAGGGGGCAAAAGGCAAAAGAAAAAAAAAAAGTGAAGGAAGTTTAGAGTTTTTTGAATATAGCTTCATCAGTTTTGGGTCTACAGACTTGAGCTATAGCTTGTTATGACAGAAACAGTGAGCTCTTTAAGTTTTCTTAGGCTTGGGATGAAGATTAAAATAGCAGTTTTTAAGTTATTTACGATTTTTAAGAAAAAAGGCCAAATGGCTGTTTTTCTTACTCAATTACCAATTCATTATGTGACCTATTTGTCACATGGAAAGTCCAGTGACTCGCAATAATGTAATATATTATAAAATTTTAATTTATAAATTATTTTGCTTATATATTGAAAGTAAAAGAAAACTTTTAGAATAGGTAACAAGTGAGACCGTTCCGAATATGAAAATGATCTGGGTATAGTTATACACAATTATCAACCAATTATATAATGAATTTTAGCAAATTGCCAATCAGATTACAAGAAAAAAGTTGGTAGATTAAAATGGATTAAGAGAATATATTATAAAGTGAACTGAGAGTATTAATTCATCTGTAATAATTTCTTGTATTTTTAAAAGTTAAGTTACTCAAAAGTTTTGAGAGCTTTGTAAAAAAAGTATTATAAAATATATAAAAAAAAATTGTTTATCAATTATGTAACATTTGGGTGACTCAGATAATCAATTCTATATTTGAGACGGTCTCACCTATTAGAATAGGTATTGTAATTAAGAAAGTAAAGATTTTTAATTGTTTTGTTTATTTAAGTGCTATTTCAAAAAGAAAATTCATAACTTAACTTTTAATAGAATCAATCAATTAATAACCAATGACCATTTTATTAATCTGATTGAATAAATTAATTTAATGACATTTGAAAATGAGGCTGAATAATAAAAATAAATGAAAAACAAAATCGAAATCCTATATAAATTAACTTAAATAGCCTTTAATTGTTTGGTTTGATTTGCGAATTAACGATGGTTGATAAGCTACTCTATTTATCATTTATTACTGAATTTGCAGCTTCACTCTTCTGTTATAATATCGCAATAACTCTATTACAGTGCCTTGAACCAAAAGAAGTCAATGCATTAATTTATTATTTAAAATTTAGCTTTAACCATAGCGGTACGTTGTAATTTATAATAAACTTTCTATACACAATCTTAATCAATCCGAATTGCAATACCCTAGGATATGCATATGCAATCACTAATTTCATTTATCGCATGTCACTTTTCATAAGATACAAAAGTCTTTCTTTTCTTTGTTTTTTGAATAATATTTTATATTTGATTTATGTTTAGGACATTTTTCGAATGAACTTGAATGTGATTAAAAGAATTCATAAGATAGCAAATCAAATAAATATAAATACCAAAGAAATCACAAGAATATCTAATGAAAGTCACCTTCAACTCCACTTAAATCGTTTACTTAGTTACAATACTAAACATATTAATAAATAAAATTATCGAATATCAATTAGAAATTAATATTACGATTAATGATTATTAAAGTTTTAAATTTTTACACGTTATTTACACGCCTTTATACTATTTTATTATAAAATGATCTTTATAAGATAGAATTCCAAATTAAATCTTTATTTCAAAAATTTAATTAAACAAAGAAATGGAGCTAAATTACACATCGATTGATTCTATAAATAAAATTACTTAAAATGGCGAATTGCTACTTAACAAGAAATGTCTTGTTTTAAATATTAGATTTAATCTTTATAATAAAAGAAATATAAAAAAGTATATATTATTTTTTTCAAAACTTATTTCGAGTAAAAACAAGGAAATAAGTTTCAAGCCAAGTGTTTAATACGCATTGTCATTCAAAAGCTAAAACATTATATAGTACAAGTCAATGTAAAAAAAATTATTGTTGAAATATCTGAAAATTTTAAAATATATATACTATTAATAAAGTTCTTAAAAAACGCTAGCATCCATGACTTTTTTTTGTCAAACACCTTACTGTGAGAGTTAAATTGGTTAATGCCCTATCCAGATCTTTAATATTATTCTATGTTTTAATTAATTGTTTGGCTGATATTTTCAAAATTGGCTAAAAATTATATAAAGCGCAAATGCAAAACACGAATTATTTTAACTATAAAGTAATATTTTAAAATGCTCAAAATTAAGAATACAAAGGAAACAAAACCTCAAATGACAAAAGATCAAGTGGAATACTACAACAATAATATGTACAAAGTTGTATCAACAAGCATTCATTAATAATAAACTTGTAAGAAACAAAAATGGCCAAGGCAGAATCTGTAAATGATATAACATATAATCAAAAATGTTATAAAAAGATGCAAATTCCAGACGTAACAAAATAATTGCAGTCTTATAAAATCTAAATTCAGAAAAAAATAATACACAATTCCATGACATTACAATGCACTTAGTACGTGCTAGGCTGGGGTGTCCAATGCAAGTCTAATTACAAATATAGTGCAGATGGTATAGTGATGATCATTAATTAATTTTTTTTTGTAATTAGCGGTAGCGTATATAGTAGAGACATATAAAATTTAACTTGTAATAACTCTTGAACAAGCAAACCTATACAGATAACTTTATATTTGTCAGGGTTGTTTTAATATGCTCTATAGAGTTATAGAGCCTTTTTTCTTTTATTCTTATTGTTTGGAGCATAGTGGAAGATGCAGTTTTCACGCAAAATAGTCATTTTTGATGCATTTTTAATAAAAATATCAAAAACGTAACTTCAAAAATTTTGTCTATTGTATTGTATTATGCAATGATACTTGATGAAAATTTTGAAGTTACGTTTTTGATATTTTTATTAAAAATACGTCAAAAATGACTATTTTGTATAAAAACCACGTCCTCCGCTATGCTTCAAACAATGAGAATAAAAGAAAAAGGCTCTATAACTTTATAGAGCATGTTAAAACAACCCTGAAAAATATAAAGTTATCTGTATAGATTTGCTTGTTCAAGAGTTATTACAAGTTAAATTTTATATGTTTCTACTATATACACTACTGCTAATTACAAAAAAAAATTAATTAATAATCATCACTATACTACCTGCACTATATTTGTAATTAGACTTGTATTGGACACCCCAGTACTAGGCGGTTGTATTATAATCACAGGAGCTGGTATTTTCTTGTAGTGAAGGAATAACTATAAGCAATCTTAATTTGATTTTTGGGGGACAGATAGATAATTTTTTTAAAATAATTTTAATTATTTATTATAGGATTTTAGCAGTTTAGGTAGTTTTTACAATACGATAAAAAAAAATATATCCAGGGTACTTTCCGTTCGGGCAACGAATTATTTGATTCTAACTTACTTAGAACTCATAATTCTATTAAAGTATTTAATTATTTTATGAGTGAATTAAAAGAATTAGTTGTAAATGCTAAACTACAGCCACTCATTTTTTTATAAAAAAATTGGCAGATATGAAAAAATTAAAAAGGGTATATAGATAATCTTGAAGAATTAGTAGGATTGCATGTTAATTGGCAATTTGAAGAAGTTAAAAATTGCCAAGCTCAAGTAGTTCAATTGCATGGAACTTTGGAAAAATTACAATGTAACATTTGCATAAATGTCTAATCTTTTACACCACAATATTGTGATATTTTCAAACAAGGTGAAGTGCCAAATTGCCCCAACTGTGAAGAGAAAGGTATATTTCTTATGAATTGTATTTTAAGTTGTAGGTTTTGTTAATGATTTTCACGTTTTAATAATAGAAAAAGCTTAGATCAAACAACAAAGACGATCTCATATTGTTGGATAGCTAAAACTGACTGTAATCCTTTATGGTGATTCACATCCTAAAGGATTAGAAATTGGCCAAATCTCAGCACACGATCAAGATAAAGCCAATTGTTTGGTAATAATGGGAACTTCTTTAAGAATTCCTGGAGTAAAAGCTCTTATAAAAGACTTTGCTAAAGCAGTTCATGAATGTAAAAGGTTATATGATATTGGTGAATGCTACAAATGTGGTTACTAAAGAATAGAATTAGATCATTGATTATCAAATAGAAGGTACTTGCGATGAGTGGGTTAAACTTGTTGGCATTGAATTATCAAGCAATAAAAAAAGAAAAAGAGTGAAAATAATACCAAGAAAGGGAAAAAGAAAAAATTGGTTTCCTAATTTAAATTTTAGAAATAATAAAATATACCAGACTTAGTGATGGACTTAAATATTGATCCTCAATCAAAACTTTTGTGAAAATTGTTCCTGGCCAATTTTATCTTGAAACTTTCTTATTTTTTAAAATTTTTATTTTTGTAATGAAAAGCATAAAAATAGGTTCAGATTAAAGTTTTATTTGTCATTTTTTATTTGGTTGCATATCAGAATCCCGATACACAAAATCCTGACACTCAAAATCCTGGAAACAAAATCCTAATACACAAAATCCTGACAAATTAAAATTCTAAAAATATTAAAATTAAGATTTTAATTTGTCAGGATTTTGTGTATTG